TGCAATAAACACTTAAGTAAGATAACTTTTGTAGTTATATAAAACAAATACTATAATATAATATAATAGAAGGGTTGGAAATATGAAATAATCTATTAAATTATTTTGTGCTTCTAATCTTAATCTGTGGTGTTATTTTTTGCTCGGGTAATGCCAGGCTCATTTTCTAGTTAATATACATTTAATATGATATTGAATATATTAATTGTTCAAGTAATAGTAGCTCAGTTTTTAAAAACATTATGAATTTTTTGATGTTATTTATAGTTTTGATTTGTATGATAATTTTTCTTTATTACTGTTATTTTTTATTCATTAATGATCAAAAAACAGCAACTGAGAAATGATAAGTGCCATTCAAGTATCAAAACACAATAGCATGCCTATCTCATTTACAATTTAAAAATCAAGATGAAAATCCATGCTTGTGAGGATAGAGGATATAAGAAAGTCTTAAAATTGTTTACGTATGAGAGAGGAAGTTTTAGTCAATATTTTTGAACTTTAGATTTTGTATGTGTTCTGAGATGTGTTGTTGATGTTAAGTATGTAAAACAAATCAAATCTGCAAAATAAATTCTACAATCTAGTCCAGGCCATTCATGAACTACATAAATGACTTGGTGATTTGTAGTCAAAAGAAACATAAATAAAAATATATAAAATCTATTATAAATATTCAGATGGAATATGCATAAACATTGTTGACTAAAACAATGATTAACTTATATTTGATAATAAATATCAGTTTTTTTTATTTTTAGTACTTTAGTTTTGCTTTTTTTTATATTATTATTATAAATTAAAAGTATTGATGTCCTNAGCCTTTAATATTTCAGTTTTTGAAACACTTATTTAACAAGATACTAATGAAAACTGATTTAAAAATTCATATCATAGCTTATACATGCTGCCTATATATATGTAGGCTATATATAATCTTTGTATCTTGTATAAACATTGTAACTAAATCATAAATATTTCTATATTATATTATATACACATACACACTAATGCACTCAATTTTTGGTGGTGCATGCTTATATACAAACATACATGTTTTAAAAAAAAAAATGTATATATTCAATTTGCTTTAAAATGCATATTAGAAAAAATTGAATATCGATTAGAATTTAGTGAATATTTTATGTTGATTTGAATTATTATTTTCAACATATTTATTCATAAGTAGCTTAAATTTAACAATTAAAATAAGTTATAAAATACACATTTTCTAAGTCAAATTTCTTAGTGAGTCCGCTCCCTTCAGTGTGTCAGTGCTACATACATGTACTGTACACACGAATTTGAAGAAACTACATAAAATCTTTACACTAATTCTTGTTGAATATATCTACGATGTTTACAAGTTAGATTTTCATAAGATAAATTTGATTTTTCCCTTCATCGTGTTACATTGGGGTGAAATGTTTTTCTCTGTAATTCACATATTAATTAAGCATTTGCGTAGCGCGTACATACTGTTAAAATTTTAAGTAAATTTCCAAATTTTCCCCAATTTTTATATAAAAATTTCTACTTGATATAAACCTTAACCTAAAATTTTCTATTAAAAATTTAACAACAAACCTTTTTAATATAGAAAAATTATAGCCTAAATTTATCACTGAAAAGTAACTGAATAGACTTGTCTAGTTATAAATTATGCATTCATTCTTTTATTCGGAATAAATCGAAGAAGCACGTGCCAATATTCACTCGCAAAATGTCACAGCCAGTGTAGCATTAAAAGGATGTGGAAAAGAATGAAGTCGGCTATCACTTTCCATTCAACTCTTATTGATAACAGCGGGTGGTAAAGCAAGATGAGGGCAAGCCCCGTGAGAACCACAGTTCTTCTAACCCCTGGCCTTTCATTGTTCTATATACTTCAATCCCATATGTTCCGTGACAATCGAGAATAAATGAAGTTCTCGTGTGAATGTTTATCAAATAGGGAGCTCACTCAATAAAAATCAAAGAGGCTCCGAAGCTTTCTAACAATAAATTGATGATGTATAGCATTCTTACAACAGAGTAACAGACTTGTTAATCGGATTATTATTTATGTTACTTCTATGCAATTAACTTTTATATACTTTTATGTAATTAAATACCTTATTTAATTTTTTAGTCGCATATTAAAATTATGACAAATATTTATATTTGTCATAATTAAATATGCGACTAAAATATAAATATATAAAATATTTATATTTATTATTATGTAAATTAATTTTTATATTTACTTATTTTATAGATTTGAATTCTGACGAAATGGAAAGATTGTTACATGCAATGATTAATATTAAACAGCCCATAAAAATTTGATTTAAAAATTGTAGCAAATTTTAAATATTGTAAAATTAATCATTTTATGCTTTTTTTGTAATAAGAATTTGCAATATTGTAAATGTTCATAAATAATTTGAAGTAAATAAATGTATTCTTTAGATAGTTAAATTTTGGTAATGTTTAATCTTTTATTACAATTGTTTATATTAATAAACCCATGTTAATATTAACTTTTCATAATCTGTAAATATATTTTATACATATTAATATTAGATAAAATTAATTTAATGTAATACGCATAAAACAAGTTTCTAAATTTAAATTTCAAAAATTCCATACACCTTTATTCAATCAAAATTGATTATTAACCTGTATATTTAAATCTTTGACTGACAGAATTCAAATATTTTAAATGTATATTATTCAAAGTATAATAAAATAATTTAGGCCTATATTATTATTATTAACATATTTTTGTTAGAAGCCGAACAATATTCAACGATAAAATTTTTATTTAATCACATTTATTTATGTTACTAATTACTATGCGGTATATATGTTTAAAATACATGCTTTCCACCTCAAATTAGTAGTGGCTTGCCCCTGTACAGTACATCATATTTTTCCTTTAACAATAGAGTAGTGCTGGTTATCTATCTAACTCCTTTCAGAGGAAAATTTTTGAATTGAAATAACGTGACTTTCAGTTTTCATCAGAAATTTGTATATAATTAGTTGGGGCATCCTGCCCCTAAGATTTCCATATCTGGTTTCATGTTTCATCTGTCTTACTCCGTTCTCGAGATTAAGGAAGGACGGACAGACTGATGACAAGGTTTGATAATGATCGCATATTGTCAGTCACATGAAAAGGTGAATAGCACAAAAAGAACTTAAGGCCTATTATCCGATGATGATGACAATAACTGTATACTGACTAGGTCCTAAAATTAATCAATCAATCATTCAAATATTAAATTTACTAAAATATTAAAATTATGACAAATATTTATATTTATTATTACTGTAACATATTATTTATGTAGATTTCTTTTTTAATACTTGTATAATATTAAAATATAATAAATTCAACTTACATTGCTTCTCCAAGTACTGGTTTAACAGGATAGCCATTTTTTATCATATACTTTTTAATAGTTCATGGAACTTATACTTTATTAATTTGGAAAATAAGTTTCATCAACTACGAATTCGGCAATATACCAATTTAGATGTTTTCATGACGTTCCACTTTGAACTTATGCCTTTTCCATATATTTGTCGGTATACCAGTATAACAATTGCATTTGTTGTTTTGTCAACCTCACCTCCATTTTGGATTTTTTCACTCTAAATCTAACTTCATTTTATGATTTTTTGTGAAACCTTTGAGAATATAGTACACCATATTCCTGCAGAATACTAACACCAACTTCAGACGTAGGCAAATTCTAAATATTAGATGAATAATCCATTGTCCACAAGTTCTCCCATCAACACAAATGCTCAAATCAAAGACTAATTTGCATATTAGCGCGTAATATTAAACACTGTATAATACGTTTTATTTCTTAAAATATAATTATTCTGATTTGATTAAAAATATATATATATATTTTAATATTATTGAAACATTAATTATATCTTTGATTTGTACAAAATTTACTTATGAGAATTAAATGAGACACACGCCGCGACGCGACATGCGAGAAAATAACTCAAAAGTATCAAATATTCATTATACATTAAACTTTTTCAATTCAATAAAAGGAGTTAATTAATTGATTTGCGAAATTAATTATGCTCGTTTAAATTAAGTAATCGCGTGAAATTCTCCATAGCATCGCGCGTCACGTCTCATCGCTAATGGTTATGAAGTAAATTTTTCGCTAATTATTAAAGTAGATAATTTTTAGCTAAATAAAGGAGAAAATTCATTTGTTGTTATTATTTTTTATGGATTGTAATTGAATTGAAATTCAATTAAACTACAGAAACTAGAACCTAATAGTTTCTGTATTGAGTAATATTAAATAATCTTATGAAATTCCTTAAGAGAAAACTAAATTTTCAAGATTAACATTAACATTACCAAAACTCAAATTTTTATTTATCAGATTCCAAATAAGGTTACGTTAACCCGGCGAAATTTTAAAATTAGAAACTATTAACATTACCCTATATATCTGTAGGCTATATAACTTTCTTTGAATTAGAACTAGTGAAACAACTTGGACAATTATGTATTATCAATCAGTTTAAATGTTTCATTTTCTAAGAAACAATTTTTTATTGATTTTTGTCTGTTCTGCAAATATCCGAACACAAGAATTTTTTAAACAAAATTAAAAATTCCAACGTAATCCTTAAATTTAATTCGCGTAATTCGTTTATTAGGCCTATTATATTTATTAAATAATATAACCTACTTTTAATAATATTTTAGAAGTAATAATAAAAAAATATAAACAAATAGTAGCGAGAATCAGCATTATTTATTTTATTTTTATTAATTATTATTAAACAAATATCCCCAAAAACATAATTTAAGAATGTTAATAATGGAAGTTTGAATATCCATAAATTATTTTTGTTTCGTATGAAATTCATAAAAAAATTTAATTAAATTTAATTTGTTAGAGATTTATATAATGAATAAATTATATTACAATTATCTCAACAATTCTTTTAAATTATTGAGATAATTGTATTTAACAATAGTCCATAGTGTATAACAATAACATTTAAAATGAGAATACTATTTACAGAAAGTGAGAGAAGAATTATTGGTTTTTGTTTATTATTTTTACATATTATTATGTGTTTCGTTTATTCTGTAATTCTACTTAATCGTCATAATCAAATCGAATACGTGGAAATGAATTCTCTCATTGGTTTAAACCTTGAAAATACAGAAATTTTCGCTACAATTCTAACACACATTAGCATTATTTTACATATATCCGGAGCTTTGATAAGTTCGAATTATAGTAACGCATGGAACAGATGGATATTTCTGAATTATTTCGGCTATTGGATCCTATTTTATTTGATGTTCTTCATGAGCGAAGTTGTGTTTTTACTTATACTAATATCTCACTTTTGGGAGTTGAAGCCTCCGTGGGAATTCGATATAATCCCATCAATGAAAAAATATAGATTATCTGAAGATATAAAAGTCATGTTAGATAAATTACAGATTAATTTGAAGTGTTGTGGTGGTAAAGGAATCGGAGATTGGATGGATATAGCTTGGATTCCTCGACAAGTTATTATTCAAAGAACTGGCATCGAGTAAGATATCTTGATACTAATTTTAACATTTAACTGTATTACTGTATTTATAAAATATATGTTTTCAGAAACAAGTTAACTGCAGAATGGGTACCTGAAAGTTGCTGTAATTTAACATTTGATGGTCCATGCTATCCAAAATTTGTTTTTAAAGAAAGAAAAGGAATAACGTACTATGATACTATAGAAATGTTCAATAGTAAAGGTTGTAATGATGTTTTACCTCAATATCTACTTCTTCTTACGAAGAAAATAATATGGTTTATAGTCGTAATAATGACAACCAAAAGTATTAGTGTGAAAATATATATTTGGAATAATTTAATATTTTATCTAGGTATTCGAGAAAGAATTGAATACACTCCAAGCTCTGGGCAACAGATACTTTTTCCAGAAGCACAGTTAGAATTATGTGATGCACCATGTACACCAGAAAAATTAACAACAAAAGTTACACTTTCAACACATCACATTGGAAAAGGATGTGATAGAGATACCTACTCAGTCGACTCTCAAAGGAAACTATGTGGTAAAAAACTTTTCTTGAATCTCTAAAAATCATTATTTTGTATTATTAAAATTTTTTATCTTAAATATATATACATTATTATAAAATAAAATTAATATATTATATAAAATTTATCAAAATCAAATTTTATTAACAGTCATTTTTATATTAAAATTAAATGTATGAAAAAGTTTGTATTATAAGTACTGTGTATTTAATTCATACTGTAATATTTATTTATGCATTTGTGTTTAATTTGTTTGTATATTGTTAAATTAATATCTGTCTATGTATTTATTATGAATTATATTATTTTAATTTTTAGGTGCAAGTTCAGATAGTATAGATTTACTTCCTTCTCCTGGTATTGGTGCTGAGTGGACAAGAGAATTACCAACTGATGAAGGCCATGAAAGTGATCAAATATATGAATTTGATGGAGTAACAAATGCTGTTGTTATTCCTGAATCAACCCTTAACCATAATTTAACCAACAACTTCACAGTTGCATTTTGGATGAAACATGAGCCTTTACCTGATCATAATAATTCACACATGAAGGAACATATTATCTGCAATGCTGATGATCATAGTAATAAATATTTATTATTTAAAAGAAATAAAAAATTTTATTAAAAAATTAAGTTACTAGATTTATTAAATACAAAATATATATTTTTAATTTTAGAAATGAACCGACACCACTATGCTATATTTGTAAGAAATTGTCGTTTAATATTGTTGCTTCGTCGTGAATTTTATCAAAAACGACCAATTGTATTTAGACCAGCAGAATGGCGCTGGAAGACAATTGAAGTTTGTGATAATCAATGGCATCATTACGCCATAAGTGTGAATTTTCCAGAGGTAAATATCCAAACAAGATTTAAATTTATTATTTAACAAATAGGACATTCTTTCATTTAGGATGGTCCTTTTAATAAATGTATTAATTATATCAAACACAAAATTAACATTTAATTGTTATTCATTAGTTATTTGATCTAAATAAAATCTAAACATAATAAAAAAAAATAAATGATAGTTTGTAGCAGTTATGCACAAAGTAAATAATAAAGAGGAAAGAAAGGAAGAAAATGTTTTTCTTTGAAAGGAAGAAGAAAATGATTTTATAACTCTTTCTGCCCTGTAGGAAGAGTTATTTAGATTTAACTTTAAATTGTTTAGATTGGATATAAATTATTATTTTTATGATAAAATTATGATAAAGTTATAATTACTCTTACATAGGTCGTATCAAAAATACTGAGCCACTTTCATGGGATCAAAGCCGCAATCACATTCTCCTTGTTGTTGCTTATGATTGTGGAATGAAAAGATCTAAGCCTACAACAGTTAATATTAAAGTTCATAGAGTTTGTCGACCTGGCTGGAAAGGTATGATTTAAATGCAATTTAAATTAGAAATTTTGAGTAATAATTAATAATATACAAAGTTTAAAATTTGCATATCTTTGATTTTTCGTAATACTATG